AGGTGTATAAGTGGCTTGAATAGCTACTACAAAGTTAACAAGGCATTTTTAAGGGTTCAGAAACTATTTTTTTTGAAAACAAGTTCTAATAACTTTGAAAGCAATGGATGGAGTTCAATAGATTCGTCTACTTATCAGTACCCGGAAGTTGTCAATGCAAACTTGTTGTCCTACTAGGCAGACTACGGTAGAAAAATCGTAATTGTAATCGGAAAATTTTGGTTGCCCGCAACCGCTTTGCCGCCGTGATGCCGTCGAAAATAGCCCATTCGTACCATGGAAAACAATAAAATATCCGATATTGATCGGATATTTTGGCCTAAAATTTGAATACGTCTACAAGGAAAGACATGAGATTTTTAACATTATTGTTTAAATCCGGAATTGTCCAGCAGAAAGTAAAGGGTAATGCAGACAATAGAAAACAAATACGACTCTTAAATCTCACAGCTATTAGGCCTTATTTTTGAAAAAGGCGAATATCGTTTGGTAAAGACGAAAGTCGCAAGGGCTGCAAAAATCAAAGAAAAAACGTGCTGTTGAAGTCCCACAGACTCTGTGCCGCCAGCATCCGCTTGTTGGGAAAATAATGATCGTAATGTTGTTACGCCGATCACATCGCTGAAGTAAAAAGCAATTTGATTTTGCCCCGACACAATCCATTTTCTCGATTTTTCGATGCGATTTTCGATGCGACAGAGTGCTCATTATTTTCCCAACAGACTGATAGTAGATCCTTACCGATCTTGGCCAAAAAAAAGGTATTTTATTATAGCATTTTCTGTTAGTCACAATCACACTCAAGTCCTCACATTACGCTCAATTTCTTCTTCAAAATTTCCCGACTAAACTCGGCGTCCGTCGCCATGTCAATTCCATACGACATTTTACAATAAATATAGAAAAGTGTAGTAAAATAAGTAGACAAGCAGAGTAAAATACGAGACGATCGCTTCAAAAATTTATGACAAATGACCGAATTTTGTGCAATCTTTGACCGATCAAGCTTGAATCAATATTGAAGGACTCAAAAGTCGCTATAACGGTGGGAGGCGGACCTATTATTATAATCCCAACGCACTCATTAATCCGAATGATCGGAGGAACAATAGGTTCGTAGACAGAGTTTACGTGGTTACGCAATTTCAAAAGTCATGTACTCGGAAGTTTTGATTTTGAAAAAAATTAAAATTACCGGGAAAGTGCAAGTGTTTTAGCTCAAGATTTGTGGAAACAACCAAGATTTTTAGATCGAAAGGTGGCAAAAACGTGAACTTTTTTGCTAATTTTCCCATGAAAAGTTTTGTGGCTACTTCTACCATAGAGTGTAATGTTTCCACAAAAAAGTCGAATTTTTCCGTGCAAAACTGGCAAAGATATAGCCAAAAGCGTTTTTCCTCTCTTACCGCTCTTCACCTTTCGCGTACTCCCTCGTCGGCAAAGATCGTTCAATATCTCGGCTGCCCCTACAAAGCGCGAGCTAAAATTTTCAACAATTGATATATTGCCGACTCCTACCATGTACGCAACACCGAAAGAAAATCTGTGCATTGCACATGGGTTTTTCGTTACAAAAAGTTCTGAGAGTGCCAAAAATTGGGGCTGCTTACAGGGACCAAAAAAAGCCTTTCTAATTTTTTTGGATCCCTGAAGTTCGCACTACTGTACTCCCCTAAAAGTCTTAACAGTTGCAAGTTATATGAAGCTCAGCAGAACAGTCCAAAACAACTTGTGAGATAGAAACCGAGTCCCATTCTTTTTGGCGCACCCTGTATTTCCCCAAGAGGTACCCTTGAGGCCAAAGTTTACCTTTTCTTTTTTAAAATGCTCCGGCTGAATTTGACTTCAGCCCCCATGTCCAAGCCGAACATTCCGAAAACAAAAAATTTCAAAAAAACAAGGCCGTCATGTAGTTTTGGCCGGGCTTTTAATCAATCCGGAACCGGTGATTGAAGGGCACTTGATCCAAGAGCACTTTGCAGATGAAATATTAGGGCAAACGGAAAAAAATCTCGAAAAGAATTTCTAGCCCTGAAGACGTTTCTACCGTTTTTTTGCCATTTTTTGTCTGTGACAGGATTCCATGACGACAACAATGAAGTCGTAACACAATGAGGGGTTCAAAAAGGGATCTTGAGAAGGAACAAGACTCAGATTTTGATGAAACTTGGCACAAATTTAATTGGATCTTGGATGACAAAAGAGAATTTTTTTTTCTTTTAAAAGTGGCAAAAATATGGCCAAGAAGTTTTTTTTCTTACTGACCGTTCTCCGCGTTTCGCGTACTCTTTCGGCCGCAAAGATCGTTGAATTTCTCTGCAGTCCATGGAAAGTGCGAACTAAAACTTTCAGGAATCGATATGTGAAATTTTGAGAAAAAATTGGCATTGCAACTCGAGTAATTACACAGTGAAATGAAGAAAAAGATGACTTTTTAAAAGTTTTAGACGACTGTTTTTTTTTGTTTTTGGAACAACTTTTCATGCCGGAAAATCTATTCATGAAGTCAGCTAATTTCCCAAAAATTTAATTTTAAATACAGGGTGTACCAAATTCGGTGCCCGATTTGAATTGGCTTTAACTTCTTTAATTTTGGGCCAAATTTAAAATTTTTTTTTTCCCCAGAATCCCCAGACAACCCCATTTTGTCTGATACCAAACATGTTATACATAGGTAAGTGTCATCTACAGTTATTGGATTTATTCTTGAAGTTAATTTTTTTGGTCGTTTTTCGGTTGTTTTTTTCGGTCTTTCCCGGTGTGTCCGAAAATGGAGTACGGTGTGGAAGAAAAAGCTTGGTCTGTGGTTTGGTATGGCAAATACGGTTCGCCGATAAATGTTCAAAGGGAATACAGGATGAAATACGGACGTAAGGCCCAACCCAGATCGCAAGACATTTCGGCGTTGGTGGAATAGGTTCCTTGAGACTGGCAGCGTTAACAGGAAACAAAGAAAGCAGGAAAGATGGGTACGAACGTAGCTGAAAATGGAAGAAGTTTTGTCTAAATTCCGAGAAAATCCGCATATGAGTACACGAAGTTTGGCCAGAACCGAGGGAATGCCTTCACCAAGGACCATTCGACGAACTCTGGAGGTTGATCTTCACTTTTTGTTCTTATTCTCATCGGCGATTTTCAGGAGGGGAAATTCCACCGTATTTTTCCTCCGCACCGTACTCCATTTTCGGACACACCGGGAAAGACCGAAAAAACAACCGAAAAACTACCGAAAAAATGAACTCCAAGAATAAATCCAATAACTGTAGATGAAACTTACCTATGTATAACATATTTGGTATCAGACAAAATGGGGTTGTCTGGGGATTCTGGGGAAAAAAATTTTTTTAATTTGGCCCAAAATTAAAGAAGTTATAGCCAATTCAAATCGGGCACCGAATTTGGTACACCCTGTACACTGTAAACAAGATACATCTAAACCTTGGTAAAATACGTTTTGGGGTCTTGTGTAGACATTCTAACTCCAAAAACTCACCTTCCGGGCAAAATTAATCTCTTCAAAATGGCGCTTTTCGTCTTCCCATTCTTAAGGTTGGCGATCACCAAGCTATGTCGTTTCGGCATCGCCTTAAACCAAAGAAAAGTTCAAATCAAGGTTTTCGAATCAAAAAATCGCCAACAAACTTCTCGCCCGAAACCTTTGAGGGCAAAAATTTTCGGCCAAGCCCTTATGAAACCCGGATTTAGCACGCATGTCTCGCGGCGCTCATTCCCAAACGCCTCGGGAGAATAAGAGAATGGGAATACTCAATTACGCCCCGGCCGGGAGGGCTTTCTTTTCCTCGTGTCGGCGGCTTGATATCCGTGAGCTGATTAGTCATTCCGTGACCTTTGTGAGCCCTGGGCATAAGGTATCAACGGGTTGTTATAGGTGGGTTTTTGTGGAGGAAATGAGGGAGAGATGTAGGGGGGATTGGGGTTAAATTGATGATGACTGAAAAGGTGGGAAGTGAAGAGAAATCGACGGAAATATTGGGCTGGAATAATGGATGAGGTGGAATTTATACACATAGCATGATACTATATGTATGCAGCTAAAAAAACCAGACCTTTTAACGCCTGAGGGTCCTAATGGAAAGATTTAGGGGTCAAAAATAGACTTTCAAAAGGGGGAAGCAAGCAAAAATTAAATTACCAGAAACCGATAGCCCTTTTTTATGAAGTTCGAGGCAAAAAGATTACTTTTACTCCATACTACAGCTTGAAAATCTTGACGGTAGAAGCTTTGAGTATTTAAAATCTTCAAGTATTGAAGCGGAGCCTAGACAGAGTATGAGGGCAAAATTCGAAGAAAATGTCATATTTGTCGGGAAAATAATGAGCACTTTCAAACATCGCATCCCCGCCGAGAAAATGGATTTTCACTTCAGTGACGTGATCGGCGCAGCGACCTTTTCCTCATTATTTTCCCGACAAACTGATATGTCTTCTTTTACTGACCTTTTTGTCACCTTTACAGGTGATTTGTTTTTCCTCTCGCACGCATATTATTTGGTTTGGAGGTCAGAAAAATCGAAAAAATTGGAAAACAATGACAAATGTCAGGTTTTTCCGAGAGAATGCCACGGACAAATGAATTTTGATGAGTAACTTGAGACAAGCGGATAACATGACCTCTTGCGGATCAGGGTTAGAAATGTTATGATAGTTGTTTTCGGCGCCGAATTCTAGGGAGATCAACAAGGAAAGAGAATGGAATTTACGGTAAAAAAAGTAGAATATGTTGGTTGAATCGCTGATTTTTCAGAGAAAAAAAAATAAAATTAGCAAAAAATAAGAAATTATGTACTGTCATGCGCGAAAAAATTTCGATATTTCGAAGATGGATTTGCGTGTAAAATTGACTATTTTTGACTACTAGAACCTCGAAAAATGATCGTTATATATAGACAAGTTTAGCTGTAAAGAGCTAAAAAGCCATCGCAATTAACATAAAATCTCTCGTAAAGCCCGATCTCGCCCCCAGCCCACACAAATTGCCACTATAACACAACACAACAACCAACAACTAACAATTGGCCCAGCAGTCTCCATCGCTGCCGATTCGCCGCCTTCCTCGCCACTCCGTTCTTCTGCTGTTGGCGCCAACGAGCGGCCGCAAAGTCCACACTCATCCTAGGTTCTCGGCCCAACCTGAAACAAGGGAGAGAGATGAGTGAAAAGGCCGCGGGAGAACATGTTAATGAATCATCTTGAAAAAAATAAATTTGCGTAAAATTTTCGAAATTTTTGGAAGTTACTGTCAAGGAAAAAATTGGAATTTTTTGATTTTTTTTGATTTTTTTTTAAATTTTTTCATAAAAAATTTTTTTTTTAGGATTTTTTTAAATTCCGCAAATTTTTTTTTTAACTTCCTAATTTTTCTGGACAAAATTCACAACCCACCCAAAAAATATTAAAACAGGAAAAACGAAGAAATATCAATGATGTCATGGGATATCCCACAGGTCTTTCTTTTTATGCACTTTTGTTGACAAAGTGTGCCAGTTTTCGTTTCTGAGTGCGAAAATTTGTTGAGGAACGAATGTTTTGGCCGTTTTTTGTGCAAAAAGGGATCCATTAACAGTTCAGAAAGTTCAAATGGATTTTTTTTTTATTTTTTCAGTCCAAAAAATTGGTAAAATTTTTGAAAAAAAAATAATAACTTTTAACGTTTTCTAAATTTAACCTGACATGAAAATTTCCATTTTCATTTCTACCGTAGAGGGTGATGTTTCCACAAAAAATAATTTTTTTCCACACAAAATTGCATATCGCCAAAAAGCATTTTTCTCTGACCGCCTTTCGCGTGCTCTCTCGGCCGTAAAGACTGTTGATTTTTTCGGCTCTCCCTGCAAAACGCAAACTAAAATATTTAGGAATTGATATGCAGCCTATGTCCAAAAAAAGTGCAAAATTTAAAACAAAATCTGAACGTCTTTTCCGTACTCTCTCGGCGGCAAAGATCGTTGAATATCACGGCTCTCCCTGCAAAGCGCGAGCTAATTTTTTCAGCAATTGATATGTGCCCAATACCCAAGACTACATAGTCCTTCCGGAAAGTCGTTGGACTGGATTTTGGCGCCTGCACTGTGCGAAAAAAATCAGGGTGTGAGCAACACCCTGAAAAGCCTATTGTACTGTGCAAAAAGCAAGAAATTGCACAGTGCAAGGAAAACTTTTGCTTTCGAACATTTTTTATAGCGCATTTTAGTCCAGCGACTTTCCAAAAGCCTAGTATGTAGCCAATACCCAATATAGGACAAAAAATTTTTTAGAAAACCTAAAAATACTAATAAAAACCATAATTTAAGACACGTTTCAAAAATTTTTACAAGCCTTCTACGCCATCCTGGGCCCCCAAAACTACGGCCTAAGACCGTCAGTAATTCATATTCCCCCTCGTTTCTGGGCACCGAGGCCAATGTCATATTTTTTTTTCATTTTTTCTCCACCTCACTTACGGGTCCTTCATCCTAATTGAGACTTTGGGAATAAGCGGGCCGCGCGGGGCCGTTGGTTTTTCCGAATTTTGCGCCCCCGAAATGGAACAAAGGACCCGCGGAGCCGTTAATTAATCATTAAAAAGCAAATTTAGATTAAAATTTCGATTAAACGCTCGCATTAAATTAGGAGAGGCGATAAATGAAAAGTTTTTTGGAATAATGAAAACAAAAAAATACTTTTATATTAATTATTTTTGTAAAGGGAAAAAATTTTTGGGAAAAAATATCAGTCTGTCGGGAAAATAATGAGCTCAGTTTTGTATCGAAAATGGTATCGAAAGTCGAGAAAATGAATTGTGTCGGGGAAAAATATCAATTTTTTTTCATTTCAGCGATGCGATTTCGAGCGAAAGAGCGCTTAATATTTTCCCGACATTCTGGCATGTCTCTTCACTATGAACTTTAATTTCATCGTAGAAGTCCAAGGCGTATTTTAAAATTATAAAAAAATTGGTCTTCTAAAATTGCAAATTCTAAAACATTTTAATTTTTTTTTCAATTTTTTCAAAAAATGATTTCATATTGCGTGACAACATTTTTTTGGAATCCTTAAAAGTGTCATAAATTCTCAAAAATTGCACTATGAAGTGTTTATTAGTAGAAATAATAAGATTGGTCATGCTCTAGGATAGTTTATCACCTATTATGAGGTATTTTACATGTACTCTTATCAATAATATCTAGATAAAAGTTAAGATTCTTCGTTTCTTGCCGCAAATTTTGGTCTTTTATGTGTCACAATAACTCAGGGTTAAGAAAACTAACGTTATTAATAGCTAAAGTAAGAAAAAGTGGATATATTGCAAGTCTTCGCCAAGTCTCCGCCGAGCCTTCGCCGAGCGTCCGCCGACAATCCAGCGGGCTTTGCCAGGCCTCGTAGGCACTTTTTACAACCTTTTTTTGGCTATTCACTTGCCCTACACCTATCTATGAATCGATTTTGTATTGCAATTTGCCGCACAGAGGCTTCATTTTTTTTTGAGACAAAAAAGCTTACAACTTCACGGCGTCTGCCATTTTTGAACAAATTTAGCACCAAGAAATTTTCTCACAAATATTGCGAGAACACAGGCAAGCGGACCAAATGGATTTCAAAGTTTTTCTCGCCACTTTTACGACCCTCAATCCGAGAAAAAAACCTCTCTAATCCTTTTGCTAGCATGACAAAGTAGTATTGCATTGCACTCTCTCCTCCACTTTAATGAACAATTTTTTATCCTGCGATGAAAAGGAAACATTCTTCGGTTTTTCCTCCCGGTTTTTTATGCAGAACGGCCGAAAAGTCGAGCGTTTTGCAACGGCTTGAAAAACAGAGGTACCCCAAGTGGAATTCTCAGATTTTCTTTAAATTTTCTACATGTCAGGGACATGAAAGAGCCAGCATTTTACAGCCGTTACGAAGATACTACACCTTTTCAAAAGTGCCTAGACTTTTTTCCGCGGCTCATACAGTGGGGGACCTGATCCAGTGGCCAAACACCTACATTTCGCATCCAGGAAGTATAAAAAATGTAGCAAAATACCTCCCTCTCCAAGTGAAAAAAATCCGATTTGCTGAAACAAACCACCATAGCGCCTTCTACAGTGGGGGACCCTGATCAAGTGGCAAAAGACGTACCATTTTGCATACGAGAAGTATCAAAAATGTGGCAAAATACCTCCCTAAAAAACTTCGTTTTGAAGGGTGCGCCCTTTCCCTCACAAAAAGAGCGCTTTTGGAATCGGAGTTTTTTCACTTGGAGAGGGAGGCATTTTGCCACATTTCTTATAATTCTCGGATCCAAAATGGTACGTTTTTTGCCACTGGATCAGATCCCCCACTGTAGATTTTGCCACTTTTTGAATTGGGTTTTTCACGTCTATCGCGCGGGCAGAACACAGTTGAAAAACCTTGAATCATGGCGACTTTCCAATTGCATGGTGCAAAAGGGCGACTGCACAGTGCGGAAAGCTTGCAAAAAAAAGTCTACGCACTTTTGAAACGGCCTAGTATCCAGCGACTTTAGCTCACGCCGAGATATTGAAAAATCTTTGCAGCCGAGAGAGCAGGCGAAACCCGGGGAGCGGGCAGAGATAAAGTAACCTTTTGGCCATACCTCTTCCACCCTTGGGTGGAAAAAAATCGATGTTTTTGTGGACTACGGTAGAAATAAACATCAATCTTTGTGTGTGGACATGCTTGCAAAAAAACAACTGAAATTGGGACCAATCCTTCACCTAAAAATCTCAGTGGTTTCTGCTAAAAAATGAGATGAAAATATCGCATAGGCAACGCGAATGGTAAGAGCGGTCACAAAATATTAATTTAAGACCCCAAGCTAAACCCTAGACCACATTGTGACGCTTCTTTTACTCCATTTTCCCACTCAATAGTCCAATTGATTTAAATAAAACCAAATCCCACTCTTCATCCCATCTGGCCGCTCAATAAACATCTGAGAAACGGCACTTAAAACGATGTTCAAATTGACCTCTGACCGAAACAAAATATATCAATTTGAAAGCCGTTAAAGAGCACTTGACACTTGTTGTCGGCGCCAAGAAACTCGGATTCGAATCCGCTGAACGTTTCTATAAACAAACGGCCAAATTTGGGGGCCAAAGCGTGACAGTAGCTAATCTTCGCTAAGCTCTTAGAAGGTCAAGTTTTGAGAGGCGAGAGCTCGCACATCATATTGTATATTGTAAGTGTAAGGTGATGACTTTTTGGGTAGGTTCTAAAATTTGCGAAATGGACCAGAAAATTTTCTGCTAAAACGCAACAAAGTCCGGAAAACTCTGTCACAGGCTTTGTAGGCGCCGCCGAGATATTGAAAAATCTTTGCGGCTGAAAGAGTACGCCAAATGCGGAGAGCGGTCAGTGATAAAAACACTTTTAGGCGATATCTTTCCCATTTTTGCGGGTAAAAAATAGATTTTTTGTGGAAACATTGCCTTCTACGGTAGAAATAGGCATGCAAAATTTCATGCCAATATTTGCAAAAAAAACGTCAAATTTTTAAAATACCAACTTTTTTTACCAGAAAATTTGCGTCAATTTCAAAGGTCAGCCAAAAAAAAAAATTTTTTTAATACTTTTTAATTTTTGACATTTTTAATTTTTAAATTTTCAATTTTTCAGATTTTTTTTGTAAGTAAATTTTCTAAAAACTTTATATTGCGCAACAAAAAAGCTAAAGCAAAAACTAAAAATACCAAAAAGCAAAAAAACTTTCACAACTACCAAAAATACCCATCAAAAAATCGCCAAAAATGTTACAACAACTGTACAAAAAGCCCAAAAAAAAACAAAAAATAAATCAAAAAATAAATAAAAACTCACCATATAGCGGCGGTGTGCTCGTTGTCACCGCCCTCGTCCATCTGCGCCAGTTGACTGTACATCTTGACCAAAAATACGTAAGTGAACACACAGAGATACAAAAATAGAACACAGTAAGCGATAGGTTATGCTACAGAGATATGTTCGCCTAAAATACGAGATGATTTTTTAGGATTTACGGGAAATTCGCGGGAAATTTTTTTAAATGAAAAATTTGGAAAATTTCAAAAATTTTTTTTTGCAAAAATAACAGTAATACAGAATAGAGACCCCATGTTTCTTATTCACACACTTTAATAAGGTCATCGAGCTTTTCAGTGACCTTTTCAATAGAATTTCTAAACAGACTCCCATGGATGCTGACAAGATATAAAATGTAATAAATATTGGTGGCAAACGACCTCAAAAAACTTGAAATTACAACGCTTTCGTAGAAAAATGCCAAAAGACAAATTTAGAAACGAAAAAACTGCGAAATAAATTTTTGATTTTCGGTCTCGCAACGAAAACTTCAAAATTTGGCATTTTGCAACAAGCGCAGAAATTTGCCCTCTGGATGTCTTACATCATATAGAGCCCATTCAGGGACAAAATAAACCGCATTTATATAAGATACGAGGAGAATTTGCCATGGAATTTTATTTAAAAACTGATGGCGAGACAATTCACCTCATCAAAATGGATAAAACTGTTCAAAAACAGCGAAAACATGGTTGTAATAATGTGTAAGCAGAGTGATAATGACTTTGCAATAAGTTTGAAGGCACTCTCAACTACGATTGCTTAGCTACAAATAACAAAAGCTGCAAAATACGGCGTTTTCCGGATTTTCCCCCTCCCCTCCTCCAAACACCGGCTTTGATGACAATTCAAGCCGCTTAAAGTCCGGTACAACCCACTACATCGCTCGCACGCAGGTCAGAGATTACGCACTCCTGCCGTTTACAGCATTGGCTAACGTCAACGCCAATCCCGCGTTATAACAAGAAAAAAATTGTGGTTTTCAAAGATCCGAGTATCGGAGGCTGCGTCCATTTCAAATTACAGTCTTCTTTCCCACAGGTGTCGGCTTCGCGGCGGGTGTTGGGGCATATGCCGGCGGGTTCAAAACACACCGTTTGGAACAAAGACAAGGGCCTACATTGGGCGTGTGGAGTGGAGGGTGCAGCTCGAGCGAGAGCCTGTGGAAATCTAGATACAATATCCGGGGAAGAGAGTAGTGTTGTCTGATGAGGACATAAAAAGCTTGAATATTATTCTCTGATCAGCATGGCATTCTGTGGAGCTGTATAGGATTTTTTACTATTACATTAATATCAGTAATGCCCCAAAAAGTGTATTAATAATAATTTGTATTATACTAATGCTACGCTCATATTTTCTTCAAATTTTGATCAAAAACTAATAGAGGAAGTACCCCAATTGCGACGCTGAGATCTTGATGAAACTTGGCACAAATTTAGAACAACTTTTTCAAAAATTTATGCGAGAATCCTAGCTCGCGCTGTGCAAAAAACAACCGAGATTTTTAGAGCTAAAGTTGACGAAAATTTTAGAATTTTTATCACATTTCGGCACGGAAAGTTTCATATCTGTTTCTATCATAAAGGGTAATGTTTCCACAAAAAATCAATTTTTTTCCACACGAAACTGGCAAAGTTATAGCCAAAGAGTTTTTTCTCTGACCTCTCTCTTGTTTAGCATGGTCTATCGGTGGTAAAGATCGTTCAATATCTTGGTGGCGCCTAAAAAACTTGAGCTAAAACTTTTAGAAGTCAATATTCAGTCTATGCCAGAGATGTGTGCCAAATTTAAAGAAAATCTGAGAATCGCACTTCCACTGTATTACAAGTCAAGACCACCAATCAATTTCCGCAAATTCTAGCCTGCACATTGCATGTGCAGCCGAGATATTTACTGATATTAGTGCACATGCAAAATGTCACCATATGTTTTCCGTCGGCTACCAGTGAAATGGCCAATGTAATTTTCTCGGCATTTCATTATCTACACCGTGCAAAATAGCTGTAATGGCCTTTAAACACGGAAAAACATCCTATTCTTTGGCTATTTCCGAGAATGATTTCTATAAATAAAACATACGACAAAATAAGGGAAGAAGCGAAAGCTTTGAGTCATTGAGCTGGATAGAAAGGCACTAAAAAGGATCGTCCCATTAAAAAGCGACAAGCAATCGGGATTACGCAAAGAATGGGCAATTCGAAAGTCTCCGGAGGGCAGTTACAAGTCCTCTGGAAACGTATCGTCGTAATCATGCTTTTGACAAAATCTTGGCCAATTTTGCGCTCTGAGAAGTGATTTTTTGTCGAGTTATGACACTCCGCCGTTGAAGTTTTGACCACCCTCTACAGTGACGGCCAGTTTTGCCACCTGGCCCAGTGGCAAAAAACCTACCATTTTGCATGCAGGAAGGATCAAAAATGTAGCAAAATACCTCCCTTTCCAACAAAAAAAATCTCCGTTTTGAAGGGCGCGCCTTTTCCCTGAGTTTGTTTACTTGGAAAGGGAGGTCTTTTGCCACATTCTTGACACTTCCTGGATGCAAAATGATACGTGTTTTGCCACTGGATCAGCTCCGCCACTGTAACTCGGTTCAAAATGTATCAAACCGGGAGCAAAATATATCAATCGGTATGACAAAACATGACGGCCCATACTTCTCGGGCAACCACTTTGCGGGCAGCAAAAGTGGAGAAAAACCACGGAGATTCTGCGGGGGATATTTGGAAATCAGCCAACATTTACAACAGAAAATTCAAACTATAGATTTGGCAGTTAGATGTGTCGAATTAAGTTTCCAGGTGTATAAGTGGCTTGAATAATTACCATAAAGTTAACCAGGCATGTTGTAAGGTTCAGAAACCATTTTTTTGAAAACAAACTCCCGTAGCTTTGACAGCGGCGGATGAATTCAATAGATTCATGTGTTTATCAGTACCAGGGAGTTGTTAACGCAAAAATTTTGTCAATCTACATTGATTACGGTAGAAAAATCGTTATTCCAATCGGTAAATTTCGGCTGCCCGCAAAGTGGTTGACTGCAAGAGTCGCAACCACCAAAGAATAACATAGTATTATAAAAGCCTCGGTAAAAAAATATATATCAAAGAACTTCTCTGGTATACTCCCCAATTCTCTCTCTTTCCAGGTATCGCAGCGCTGACACTTGGAGATTTGTTCCCGCACTATGTAATAACACTCCAGAACTTGCATTATAATGTGTCATGGTGAACCTACCACAAGATGATTCCCACCGGAATAATTAAATAATTCACTGGATATACGCTTACTAACAGCCATTATGAAGAAAGCCCCTAAGGGCCGACAAAGCAAAGAATGAACAACCGACAAGGAAGTGGTCCAAGTGCGATGCAATTTTTTTTTGATTTGCGCACGCGTCGGAAATAGGCGACATATCTTTTCCAGAGAGTTTTAGCTAGCATTTTTCAGGCGTCGCCGAGATATACAACGATCTCTGCGGCGGAGAGAGTACGCGAAACGTGGAGAGTGTTCCAAAATGATATTTTTTCTGCCCGCATCTTACCCAATTTCGCGTGGAAAAAAATTTTTTTTTGACGAAAGTGACATACCTTTAGGGTAAAAATAGCCGCAAAACTTATTTATGCCAAAATTCGCAAAAAAATTTGACATTTTCACCAACTTTCTGCCAAAAAATCTCGTCGTTTCTGCAAAGCGCAAACTGGAAGTCTATTATTCATAGGCCACAGATCAATTTCTAAAGGTCCTAGCTTCTGTTTTGCAAGGAGAGCCGAGATATTCAACGATCTTTGCGGACGAGACAGTACGCGAAACGTGGAGAGCGGTCAGAGAGAAAAACACTTTTTGGCCATATCTTTTAGAATCTAATGTGGAAAAAATTAATTATTTGTGGGAACATTACTCTCTACGATAGAAATAAGTATGAAACTTTGCATGTCAAAAAATCGAAAAAAATGTCGCATTTTTTTCCAACCTTCGGCACAAAAATCTTGGTCGTTTCTGCAAAGCGTACGCCAGAAATCTCATTTATATCTCACAAAAAAGTTGATCTAATTTTGCTCCAATTTCATCAAAAACTAAGCGTCGAACTTGGAGTACTTCCCTTGTGAACTATACATTTAAAAATAGCCCCATTTTCACTAATTTTCGGCCGAAAATTCCCGATATTTTCTGCAAAGCGCAAGTTTAGAGGGCAATCCAGAATCTCGCATATATCCTACACAAAAAGGCTAATCTAATTTTTCTCCAATTTTCATCAAAAACTAAGCGTCGAACTTGGAGTACTTCCTTGTGAGTTCGAAATGCATTTACTCTCAGCCATTTACACCTGTTTTGTGTAATGTGTGGAGTACAGAAAGGCCAATTGGCGGTTGTAAACTGCTACCCATGAGATTTGAGGGTGGGAAAGTTGCGAGAAATGGGGGTTTTTTGGAGGAATCAAAAAGTTAATTAAGATTTTGGGATTTTTGGAAAAGAATGTGCATAAAAGTACATTGGAAATGTAAAATAGGATAAATATTATAATTCAAGCTTTTTTTTAACAAGCATTCTAAAAAATATATAAAAAAATTATTTTAACACGATTTTAATTAAAATTCTTGAATTTTTGAAAAATAAAATTACGCTGGATAAGTAAAATGCGCCCGTTATAGGTTATAAAAACCAATGCTAATTCTCAAAAAGACTCCAAAAAGATAAGACAAGATTGTATTCTGAGATTTTTTCAATTTTTTTCTTTATTTTGGAGTTTTCAAAACTCAAAATAATGTTTGGAAAAGTACAATAATTTGTACCGGGATGTTTTGTTATTAGAATATACAAAAAACAAGAAAATTTTTTTTTCAAAAACGAGATTTTTTGAAGAAATTTTTAATTTATGTAATTGAATTTGAATTTTACAAAATGAAAAAGTAAAATACGAGCGTGATTTCCCTGATTTTCAAAAAAAAAAATGTTTAAAAAAATTAATTCAAAGACTTTATCGCCGGAGGGCAAAAATATGTTACCTTTCCTACTACAACTAAACAGGCGGGGGACATTG